CTTTTTAGGCCGATTTCTACGATTTATTCACCCCGCAAAAGAAGTCTGGTGGAGACTAGTCAGTCACACGTGGACATCATATGGGGGGTCTGTCTGTTCTTTCATTACTTAAATACATTGAGTTGACCATGCCACACACCAGTGTCCTACTAGTACTTAATCCCTTACTCAATCACTCACACACTTACAGACGTTCCACTGCACCTTTATTTCTTCAGTATGAACAGTTACACCGAACATGTTCACTGGTGCAGAAATACTAAGGGTATTTATCAAGCAATTAATTAATTAATCAGATTGATACAGGTTAAGTTTAGGTTATGATTGTTCTTGTATTTCATATTGTATTGAAATTATGTGCCCTTTGTGTTTTGTCCTTATATGTTGACTCTCTAATATCAGCTTTGCTGCCTTGAGTCAGTGTAATGTCCTGTTGCATTTTCAATAAATAAATAAATAAATAAATCAAGCAATCAGTGAATCATCTCACATTTCTGACACTAATGCGGAATGGAGTTTTCTCCATTCTTCTACCATTGTTTTTCGTCCCTGTGACGTCGGAAGTGTGTTATAATTACGTGTGGATCTGTCATAGCGCTAGCTTTGTTTCCAAACGTATTACAGCATTTTAATATAGCTGCCGAGTGCCTTGCGCTGAGATGTAGCCTGGTATTCAGTCTATCGTGGTTTATAGGACGGGCTCTCTTCGGGAGTGCAGGAGCTCTTCACCGCCTGGCTCAGCTAGGTTATCCGGTAGGTTTTGCACGACGAGACTCTCAACTCCTGGCGTACTCTCCAAGCAGAGGTTTGGGTTTTGGGGGTATTTTTAGCGTGCTTTTAGACTTTTTTTAAATCAGGGTTTCTGTTTTGCACTGAATTTTTTTCCCTTGGGTTTGGTGGGAAAAAATTCAGTGCAAAAGAGAAACTCCGATATAAAAAAAAGTCTAAAAACACGCTAAAAATACCCCCAAAACCCAAACCTCTGCTTGGAGAGTACTCCTGGCGTACAAAACTATTTATTAGCAAAGCTCCTACATGCGTAACACTCCCACTGGACGGCCTGTTGAGCTGGACGGAGAAAAACTATTAGAGCCCCAACCACGATAGACTTAGCCTCTACCAGGCTTGCGGAGAGGACGAAAGAGACTCGGAAGCTGTCATAGTTTTGGCTACCAGGCTAGATCTGTCACCACACCACCGCCTCAACACCCCACAACACTGGCGCCTGCCTCTACACTTCGCTATTTACTGTACCGAGCTGAAGAATTTCCCCCTCTGACCCTCTAATCTCAGTCGACTGCTTCAAAGGCTCATCTGTTCCGTTGGGTGAAAACAGGACGGCGTTCTGTGGGGTCGACGGCCTTGGAATAGGCGCGTGTCAGTGGCAACCGCCAGGGGACATGTGGCGGATGGTGTGGTAATGTAACATTTTTTGGGGGCCCGTATGCTCTTTTCCGTAGAGCGTAATCGGCCGTTTTAATTCTACGTAGAGCGTAGACAGACCGCTTTAATTCAACGTAGAGCGTAATTTGCGTAGAGCGAATTTTGCGTAGAGCGTATTCGCCGTTTTAATTCTATGTAATGCGTTGTGGCCACTTGGAATTTATCGTAAGCCTGGTAAAGCGTAATCGTGAGCTTTCAGAATTCAGCGTAGAGCGTTGTCGGGACCCCCCCATGCAGGCCCTCATTCTTGCATCAAAAATTGCTCAAAATACAGCTTCAAATGTAGTACAGAATGTAGCTGCCATGTTAATTAATAGATCTTTGATGGTAGTTTGTTCTGTCACAGCCAGGATGAAAAGTCTGGGACGAATATTAATGTGACCGCACCGCATCCAATGCGATAGCGAGGGCGACAAAGCAAAAGTATTCGTACTTGTAGCGTTTGAAATAGCCCCCAAACGTGAGACATCTCTTTATAATTCATCCCTTGGGTACCGCTAATAAATAGCTAGATCTAGCCTGCAATATGAAACAAACAAAAAAAGTTTTCTGTCAGTGACATCGCATTTTATTTGCGTCACGGATATCAGTACTAATATGTTATAGGGTGGGGTTGATTCAACTTACTACATAATATGACCAGAAAATTTACTTTGAAAATCCAGGTTATGAGATTTCCCTGAAATCTCTTTGGATGCCTTTTAAAGGCCCGTTACCCCTGACTAGCTATCAGTTGGCATTTACTAGTAGTATGTATCAGTGGGGAAGTGGTGCACACTTGGTGTTGACATGTTACCGGAGGTGCTGGGGAGATAACCTCCTCTGTGCAGCTTGAATAAAGACTGGGTGGGCATAGCCTGCTCCTACAGGCGTGTAGGACTCTAAAGAAGAGACACAAACCTGTAAGAAACAGGACAGTAAAAAAAAACCACTGGTCCCGGGCCGGGGTTCGAACCCACAACCTCCCGGGCCCCAGTCAGACACTCTAACCTCTCCGCTAAAAGGTCTAAACCCCTTTGCAGGATCTGTTGGTAGCGCCTATAAACCCCCCACTGTTACAAACCCACAAACTCATCAGCCACACGAAACAATACTTCCGTACTCCGTACGAAGGAGTTCAAAAACCTCCTGTCTCTCTTGTCTAGTTTTCACTCCTTTTTGATTTTGTTATACCCCAATTAAAAACGGGAGTTCCAAGGCGTGTCTACATGTATGTGTGTATCCATATCTGCAGGCATTTCAACTGTAACTTTATAGGGATCTGCTGCGCATAAGTAAGGGAAACAAACAAACAAAAACGTTCTTCTTGGGTGCAAATCGTGCTGGAGGACCCTTTGAGAATGACTTAAAATTATTTTGCAGCGTCATACTTTGTGCAATATATATTTTCAGCGTCATACTTTCTGCATAATTTGACATGCAAAAGTATTTTCAGCATACAAATTTGGATAGCGCCGATATTATTGACACAGGTGCGCCTAATGCTGCAAAATTTTGTGTGCGTCTACAGCTTGAAGACCATTTTGAAGTTTTCTCTTAATGTAAAAAAAATCACGTAGTCATAAAAACTTACCTTTCTTGTGTTCCATCAAGTATTAAAAAGCTTGGTAAATAAATATCAACATGGTTTTTGAGTTTTGATAACTCTTTTGAAGACCGTTTTTTAGTTCTTCCTTTCATGTAAAAATAATAAATCACATAGTCATAAAAAGCTAGGTGAATAAAATTAATATGGTTTGAATTTTCATACATATTTTTGAAGACCGTTTTTCCATTTGATGTAGAAAAAAATGATAAACGACGTGGTAAAAAAAAAGTTATTATGATCTTACTTTTCTTCGTGACCTTGCCCGGCCTTCCATCTGTAGTGTCCTCGTGCACTGGTCCACACACTGGGCGAACTCCAGACTCGCTCTATGTCTGCTGTAGTCCTGGCCGTTCAGACAGGCCAAGGCCGTTATATAACTACAAGCCACACGTAGGATCGCGAGCTTGGAGAGTTTCTGGTTGTAGGAGTAAGAAGGGACCGCTCGCCGTAGACTCTCGAACGCCGCGCTGATGGTATGCACCCTGCTGCGTTCCCTAGCGTTCGCTACGATCCTCTTGTCCCTGGTGAGAGTTTTGTACGGCCTGCCTCTCTGTCTGGACGACGGGGACGTGTCCACGGACCAGGGTACGGGAGAGGGAGGGTAGGCGTCCGCCGAGGAGAAGGAGAACCTCTCGGTAGGCCCCTCCAGTCGAGACACCAGCGGGAAGGAGTGTTGATCTGGTCTGTCAGCTGTTGCACGCTCGCCTTGCAGCGTGGCAGCGTCGACAGCCAGACGGGCCACATCGTCCTCAGAGTCGGATTCCTTCGGTCGCTTGGTCAGCTTGCGGGGTTCCCGAGCCTTTCTCTTGTTTCTCCGAGGAGGTCTGGGTTCTCGTTCGGGTTCAGGCGCCGCCCCCGCCCGAGAAACATTCCTAATTGTCTCGGCAGGCTGCTCGCAGGTGTCGCTCGGGCTTGCCATCCCGCTATGTGCGATAAGGGCTCGCCAACAGTGAGCTAGTCCTCGCTGGCGATCCTGCAGGACCTCCCAAACTCCAGATGTGAATGTTCAAGAATTTATATTTAAATTACTAATCGCACCCAGATGGCTATCTACAAAAGCTGCCGCCGGCTGGCACAGAACCGACAGCTTGGGTCAGTTGTCATGTCAGAAATTCCAACTTCCATCTCACAACACTGGCAGGCCTGGCGCGGCCGGGTGGTTGGTTGGGGTACCTGGGCAAGCCTGGGACCAGGTGGGGCGGGTAAGGTTACACCCACTGCTACACCCCTTGTGTCCGCGTTCTGCCTCCTGACAGCAAAGCTCCCCACTTACTCGGGACGCAGTCATCCATTTATGATAAAAAACCAACCTGTCAGTTTACCGAGGGAGACTATTAGCAACCAGGGCACCACCTGTGCGCGGGGTTTAACAATGGAGATGTGTTCCACGGGCCTGACGCAAAATCGGAGGGGTGTGACGGTTGCGACAGGTGCTTTTTCTCTGTAAACCGGACGCGCCAAAATAGCTTCGACCCGCAACGGAAACGCTGTGCTTGTACTGAAGATGTTCGAGAACATTCTGACGGGGTTTTAGTGGGTTAAGCGAGAAGGGAAGTGTGCGTGTGTTACGGAGAGAGTTCCATGTCTCCCCACCAGATGTGAGCCGATCCGACCCGCGGCAGAAGTGTTTATTGTAACCCGAGTCAGCCCGCTATTTAGCCTCGCTCACTCTGGGCCAACATCCAGATGCAGAAAACCCCCCTGACAACTGTGTATGGGCTATGTATGGGGGATATCAGTCAACTGGAGGCCAGGTCAGATCGACAGAGGGTCATAAAAGTTATATAGAAGCATACATTCATAGATAATGTTTAGGGAAGGTCTTGAAAAATATTTATTCTAACGGTGCTAATATATTGGATATACTGTAGATCATGCAAATAAACGAAAAAGAATGTATTATGTTGCTACAAGAATTGAAGAACGCTATTAAAAAAAAATGAGTTATGTATGAAAAACAGCATGTGCATTCACGGGATAACGCCAAAATAGAGCAACCGCCAAAAAAGTCGGATGCGAAAGTCCTGGATGAACACCGAGCCCAAAATTACTTAGAGTAATTTAGTTACTGCAATGAAACACACCAAGACCTTGGTTTCCAATAATAAGACCTCTTTATACATAAGTGCTTTTTGGACAGAGATTTATCGCATCTTTATACACTTCAACGTTTTGACACAAGGCCTGCCAGAACCATATGTGCGTATCCAAACAACAAAACAAACGACACTTTTTGTTCTCGCGGGTAAACAAAAGTTATGTTTTTTAAAAGTGATTTATTCCATGCTGATATCTGAACTTGATGCTTTAATGAATTATTTCTCAATTTTAGGTGTAACATAGCGTCTAGCTACCATGTTTGTATACATGATATCTATAACTGTTTAGTTCTTCATGCAATCAAAGAGCGGACAATCTCTGAAAACCTCGCACTGATTTTGTTCCACTTTCTTCTCCTGTATGTTCAAGGCCTCCAATGCAATTTCGGGGCGGCAAACTGAATTTTCAAAGTCAATTTTCTGGCCATTCTATTAATGTATTAAGTTAAATCTATCACATAGCATACTGATATCTGTGAGGCAAAAATAGGACGTCGCTGACGGAAAACGGCGGGTTCTAGTTATTTATGGGCGGTACCCAAAAATAAAGAGACGCCTCATGTAGCTTGTTTTGGGGATAGTTCAAATGCTTCGACTTAAGTATAAAATGGTGACAAAAAAAGGTCTAAGACGTGACAGTAAATGTCAATAACATGAAGACAGATTTCCTCATATCCAGAATATATAATTATCTTTTGCCACACTGAAATTGCATTGGATTGCTTTTAAAGGCATCCAATGTGACTTTAGGGCAGTAAAACTGGAAATATTCTGGATAAGGCAATCTTTGTGATATTTACACACACAGCTTCGCATTAGCACAATGAATCAGCCTTTCACACTTTGGGCGTTTAAAACTGAAGAAACAATCCCCCAGATGAGCCTTTAATTTCTGTGTAGTACCCTAAAAATCAGCCCAGGGCCCTTCCAGTAACCATTTCCGTCAGAATTTTTGCCCCATGTCATGAGTGTGAATATACTCGTACATTGGGATTGTGTGGTTTCAGCTCATCAACGACTAAAATATTGCATTTGAAAAATCGGGTGTCCAAACCCTAAAAACTGCATGCCTTTAATTTTTTGTGACGGCCGATGAAAGTTTTGCTACCAGCCTAGAGGGTCTGCATGGGGGGGTCCTGGCAACGGTTACGGAAATTCAGCAGGCCGATAACGCTTAACGGTAAATTCAGGAGGGTCGGCAACGCTTAACGGTAAATTGACAGGCTTTTTTTTCGAGCTGCACTGGATTTAGTATCTTGCTTTGTGAGAAAGGTGATCACTGACAAAATTACGTATACCTTACATGTAATATAGCATGCATTTAAGGTATGTGTTCCCTGTGTTTCCCACCTGCCCTGGTCCCCGAGTGCGTCCACAAATAAAGGTGAGTCCGAGTCGACGTCGGCCAGCTTGCATGTTTTCAGTTTAGGATTTTGAGAGGGCGCTCGTAATCTAGGGGGTCCGGGGGGATGCTCCCCCGGGAAATTTAGGATTTTTAAGCCTTCAAAAACGCAATTTACCGCATTTTGAGAGGCAAATCATGGTGTTGAGAGTGTGTTGTCGGTCCTTCTGATGTTTACATGTTTTTACTCAAGATTTTGTTAATTTGCCTGTCAAGGTTAACGTTGATGGATTCGTTAAAAAAATCTGTAACTCTCCGCAAACTTCCGGAAATTGACGGGAAAGCTGGTTCTGGCTCGGAGCCGAAGGGACCGAGCGCAGAAGCGCGAGTCGAGCGCCAAAGGCGCGAGCAATGTAGGGGGGTCCGGGAGCATTCTCCCCCGGGAAATTTTGTATTTTTAAACCTTCAATGACACATTTTCCTGCACTTTGAAAGGCAAAATTAGGCGTAACGAAGAATTATTCATTAACGCTTAACGCTGAATTTAGGATGACAAATAACGTTTTACGTTGAATTAAAAGGACCAATAACGCTTCACGAAGAATATACCGATAACGCTTAACGTTGAATTAGAGCAGGCCGGCAACGATTAACGGTGAATTAAAATAGCCCATAACGGTTAACGAAAAAGGGCATGCAGACCCTCAGCCTAGCCTCTACCAGGCACCGCGGATCGCTGGAAAAATAGTAGAAATTGGCCGAAATAAAGGGATCATGAGTATACCAGAGAAGATCCAGGGCCAAAGAAGCTCACAGGACTTGCTTTCCAGACTTTTGTATCGCTTTCGTACATTCCCAGCAGTATGTTAACTTCAGAGATTTGGAAGGAATGTGTGAGAAGGTCTACTACTCCTTTATGTCCCACTGTACTTCAGTCGGTCTCACACAGCACTTTACTTATATGAGTTATATATATATTTCTCGCCTTTATTAGCATTTTAGTCTCCCACAACACTGTTAGTTATTTATACTTTTCTCGCTGTTGTCTTGTCTAGTACAAACCAGTATTTTAGTTGATCTCACACAGCACTGTTACTTTTGAATATTTTATTGCACAGACTCCGTGGGTCGCAAATTGGATCTTCTATGGCCCTGGATCTTCTCTGGTATACTATCCCTTTATTTCCAGCGATCCGCGGTGCCTGGTAGAGGCTACCAGCCCGGTGCCGCGCGGCACTCCTCCCCACAGCTGTGTCAACAGTTTGTTCAACGTTCAAACAAGAAAGTGCTTCCAACACCCAGTCGGGTTATTCTCGCACAAATAAGGTGCCGTAATAATTGGAGCCGGGCACATAAAAGGTGCAAGGCGCACTTCAGACATTGAGAGACAGCTGTGTATCATGTTTTCCGGACAAAAATAAAAAAAAGTCTGTAGTGTATGCTTTCTCGTTTTCGATTTCACTACCAGGGGTGAAATGACAAAAGCATCATTAACGAATTTGAAAACATGACGTTACGTTAAGTTGCTGTCACTGTCAGAAAAAAAGAATGAAACAAAGTCGAACTCAAACTTTCAAAGTCAAAGTGTACTTTGTGAAATTTAACTACCAATATTTGTATACCGTGATAGTGTACGTGTAGTATTAAGGAAAGAGGTACATAATTAGAGAGCTATAAAACGAAAACGAAAAAGCAGAAGAAAATTTGTTATAAAATCAGGCCATTCAGTTTGTTTTCACAACTATGCTGTTATAGATTCAAAATGCATGATGTTGATAACTTGATGATCCACGATTTCTACTGGGTGAGTGTCGGCGTTCTTCGGCCTTCAAAACATGCCTTATCCAACAGCGACATCAAGCGGCGAACATGAACAATGCAGCAAGCGCAGTAGTGTTCTCCATTGGGCCATCGTGATTTCATTACATTGTATATGGATGTAAAAATATGCAAATTATAAATTGCAAAAAGATACTACTGTTGTAGAATGCCAAAGGAAAAGATGAAAATGTGAAGAAATTAAAATGAAGAGTCTAGTATTTTCCATACCATACTCTCTATTCCACCTTCATGACCACATAGATTTCATAATGAAGGCAACATTTTTTGCCAAACTTTTTATTTGCTCGCATCAGTTTTGGGGTTCCCAGACGATATTATCCATATACGTATTCAAATTAACATGGCCTAACTTGGAAAAGTCTAGAGTGACATATGGCCATGGGTGATCACACAATCATTAACAGGCTACATCCCTCCAATAAAAGCTCTACAGCTTCGACCCTCACATGCTGGACACTCCTAAACCACATGTGGAAACCTTCAAGGGCAGCCTGCAGTACCGAGGGCCTGTACTGAGGAACAGTCTTGCTGCTGATCAGCGGCAACTGACAGCAACTTCAGCATTTAAAAAATGGACTGTAGATGACCGCAGATGAAATTTGCCTATACTGAGACTGTTTTGTACATGTAAATGTTTGTAACGTTATTTGTATATTGTTGTGTTCAATTTGTGTCATGTAATTTTTAATGTGTGCCCAGGGATACCTGAAAATCAGATCACCTGATTTGAGGTATGCCATGGTAAAATAAATAAACTTGAAACTTCAATAAAAGCCCATAACACAAATATTTTCAGCATCAAAGAGTTTAATTTGCAACAGGCTTATTTTGCCAAACAAAACAGCATAAACCCAGTTCCTCTCTGTACATAGATCAACAAGTCTCACTTTGAAATAACTCTGATGAAATAACATCTTTTTTTTTCCATTCAACCATTTGGAAGCATTCTCTCTCACACACCAATATGATATTTACCACAACTAGCAACATTTATATTCTTTACCTCTCTCTGCATCTAATGAAACACCACAATATTTTCACTGTACATAATATTCTTTCATTTATGCCTTCTTACTTAGCATAGTTTGTCACCGAATATTCAATCCATGACTAAATCTCCATGTTGATCACAGCTGTTCTACTTAGTTGTGTTGTTTCTTTATCTATAATTCTACAGTTTCCATAAATGCTGTTCACCAAGCATAGTCAACAACTGTTCCAACTTTCAATGTTAAATGCCTTTAGATAAGTTTCCCTACTATTTTACAAGTCAGCACATACAAATGAGATGCTCAATACTTTGTTGCTGCATCATCCTATACCAGTTAGATCTGTTTGGCCAAAGTTTCAGTACAGTTAGCACTACTGAAAAAAAGAATAGAAATGAAGTCTACATGTAACTGTTGTCACAAAAATGCAGATTCACGCTAAGTTCAACCTTACATTAAGTTCTACATAGATTTTCGTCAGAGCAGCCACTGCATACATGTATGGTAAAGCAATATTATTTCTAGTTACGTCTGGAGTTACACAGTACATGTAGCATCCACTATTGAAGAGATAAAGTTCCCATTTTGATGATCAGTGTCTCATGTATCAATCTGACTACTGACTACATGTCAACTCAAACTCCATTCTTACATGATGTTGAAATATTTTTAGGTATCTGTTGGTCACAGGATTTCAATCAAGTCAAAAGTGAAACATACAAACCAAGTTTAAGATTGTATCAACATATTGTGTGCTTCTTTCATTTCTGTCTTCTTTCTTGACTCCTTTTATGCAAAAGAAACAAAACATTACAATGTCCACAACAGCCTATAACAACAGGCTTTAACACCTTACAAGTAAACGTCATATTGTCTTTATACATTGATATTTCCATAATAGCTTGTATTTTGGTACTACTTAAACAGCTCCCAAGCTCTGAGAGAACTGAGTTACCATATTTAAGTGTCATTGTTTCTGCTGCTTTCTGGCTGTGTATTAACTGGTTTCAGTAGTGAAATTCTGTGACAGTTTATTAAGTCTCAATCCTAAAACTGCTTACTAAATGTAGACTGTTTCAGTACTTACTAAATGTAGACTGTCCCAGTACTTACTAAATGTAGACTGTCCCAGTACTTGTAGTTGTTAGCATGTATACGTATATATATTTTTACCTGTTACAGTGTAGCACAGTGCAAGGCAATATTGGAGTTGGATTTAAATTTTGCCAATCATCTAAATATACAATTCACTACTGTATACAGGGCTAGATATGGAGTGTTGAGCAATAGCTAGATAAGCAGTATGTCGGCAGAACGTACTGCGCCTGCGCAGAACCCTGTATTTTCATGTTTTTCGGTGGATTTTTGGTCAACGTTGCATTAGAATTTTGCCTGTTGCAGAAGATATCTTTTCCGACACAACATATCGAAACTACAGACGGAATGGTAACCTTATATGCGCAAATACAACCTTATATGAGACGTTCTGCCGAAGTGCTATGTATAATACATTATGGGTTTCGCGCAGGTGTAGTACGTTCTGCCGACGTGCTTAGATAAGCTTCATTGCAACAGTCTTGAATCTACATTGTATTTTGATGACTCTGAACGAATTTGAGTTTTGCAATAGACCCAGAAACAAGTTTCCAAGTCTCCTGCAGCACTAAGTGTGTTTAAGAATACCAGCTTGCTACTAGAATACACCACTTGCATTTTACAGCTGTTAAGGTATCATAAAGATGACATATTTCCAAGGCCACACCAATTTGATTTGTTGGTTCTCAGATTTTTTTTTTCAGAAAAAATGTGAAGCAACAGTGGGGTGAAATATGCGTAGGCATCCCACAATAGCCCTAAATATGATAGGAGCCATGAAGTCAACATACTTAGGCTGGGGTTGCTGGATTATAATTCATGCAATGAATTTTGAACTTTTAATAAATCCACTGCATTGATAGATGGAAAAAGTCGACTAAGAAGACAAGGACTTGGGGCCAAAATATGAGCAGTTTGGAGTTGATTCAGAACCTAAAATGTTGCTTTTTTTGAATAAGGAAAAAAGCAAAGAAACGAATCAGAGAACCAATTTATTAAATTGGTGTGACCTAAGCTAGAGACAAAAACGCTCACGTCAGTGTGTGTCCTGAACAACAGACTTTCATGGCAAACATTCTAAAGTTGGAAGAAAGAAGAGTAGACACCTCAAACTTACAACAAAAAATACAAAATTTACATGATATTTCTCTTTGAAATTCACCTTTCTGTGGGGCATGTTTTGCAAAGATAAATCAGTATGGAGGAAAAGTTGTTGCGAAAAAATTACTGAAGGATTTTTAAAATAAATGATTCAAACTTGGAATGACAATTTATTTTCATCACATTTCAAGTGATGAAGCGTCATTATACATTGTAGGTCTGACTTGACGGAAAGCTGCATGGTTTTTACTTTTCAGTACACTCCACCATGCAATACATAATTATCAGATAGATTCTTTTACAGTATACTTACATGTACATGTATCTACAAAACAAACTGAGCAAAGCTTGTCAACCAACCAACAAACTACCATAATTGCAAATCATTGTACTAAATAAGCTTGCACAGCTGTTACACACTTTTTTCTTAAATTTCCAGACACAATTTTATAGAAAACAATGAAGACAATTAAAGCAAATTAAAGTTGTGGACACAGGGATTTCCCAAGGTTTAGGGTTGCAAACCAGGGTTTCAAAGCTGTAAACCTTGTCATATTAAAGTACATGTACAATGAAAATTCAGTGTATAGTGTAGTACTAATATAACCAGAATAGTCATTGTCACAAGAAGCCAGTACATTGTAGATGGTGGTTACCAAAACTTGGGAATTTAACACAAAATTAACGCCCTAAAAACCAAGGTAACATCCTCAGATACACACTAAACAAAAAAGTAACAAGCTTACACTGCCATCTACATGTAACTTCAAACATCAAGCCTCGAATCTTTCGCACGTCACATTCAAGCATTTGAAACAAAGGCAGCAAGTATCTATCAGTCTAACTGCAAAAGCAACAAAATCTAGAAATGAAAAGATAGAAAAAACTTTGTGGCTTCTTTGTGGAAAGTAATAAAGAATACAGCAGCAGTATAGCCTTAGTCCAACTCAGCACCAAGTCATACTATATATAAACTTTAAATCAATACCACATACTTAGGAATAATAGCTTTTACATTTCTTTCCAACAGCATTTACAAAAGATTAGCCAGCAAAGAAAAAATAACTCTTCTCTCCAATCAAATGGCTACAAATTTACGTTGTCTAAGTCACCAAGATACAGTGTTTTCTTTCTGTATAACCCTTTCAAGTCTCTCGTTAAATCTAACGAACTGAACATCTACCAGTCCAAAGCATTTGTCAAGGGTATCCTATAGCTAGAGACTCAGTTGTGAAGCAACATCACATTTCTAGGGTTTTCATCTTCATTGTGGAAGGCAACAGTTATACATCACTAAGCTGAACATTAATTTACATTTGTACAAACCACAGCGGCGGCCATGTTGGAGTGCATATGGCTGGAGCGAACCACTATGTAGAGGGGAGGCAGGCTTGGCAAATCCCTTGTCAGGGCTACTAATGGAAGAAGGTCTGCTGGCTGGCCGCTGGAAAACAGTCAGTATTTTGTGTTATAGAATTAATATAGACTAGAAAGGTAACATTTGCATAATACTACCTTCACATACATGTAGTGTAGCCTAATAAACTACTGCTCTGTTTATTCTTTTCAAACAGTCATATACAAAATGTACAAGATGTATGTATATATGGTGACCAGCCCTATAGCATTGCCCTGCTACATAATGTAATCCAATACCACAAGGTGTCTGTTGCAGCACCAGTTACCATGGTGAAAGACGTCTGGTCCAGGTCATTGATCCTATGTGTTTGAAGAAAAAGAATTCCAAAGTCTGAACCCGTTATTCGAATTTTTGAAGCTGGTGCACTGCTATGCACAATACATTATGGGTTTCGCTCAGGTGCAGTAAGTTGTGCCGACGTGTTTTCTATGACTTACCAGAGGTGGTGACATGCTGGTGAAGTGCATGCTGGGAGTAGACTGGAAACTACAGCTGGAGGAAGAGCAGCGGCTGAGTGGGGAGGGGGGCCCGAACGGAGAGTGGCTGAACGTCGCACCTAGAGGGGAGACAAACGCAAAAATAGTATCAAACATCTGAATAAAGGGAGCACTGCCTTCTGATGTTCTGTATCTGTATAGCCGGTATAACCGCCTTTCGGCATAACACACCAGCTTCTGTATCTGTATAGCCGGTATAACCGCCCTTCGGTGTAACACATCAGCTTCTGTATCTGTATAGCCGGTATAACCGCCCTTTGGCGTAACACACCAGCTTCTGTATCTGTATAGCCGGTATAACCGCCCTTCGGTGTAACACATCAGCTTCTGTATCTGTATAGCCGGTATAACCGCCCTTTGGCGTAACACACCAGCTTCTGTATCTGTATAGCCGGTATAACCGCCCTTCGGCGTAACACACCAGCTTCTGTATCTGTATAGCTGGTATAACCGCCCCTTGGCGCAACACACCAGTTTCGCAGGCATGCAGCTGGCTTCATGAAATGACTTGTTACACCTAACTCTTCAACATCTAACTCATTGTTTAAAGCTATCTAATGATAATGCTCCAATTGTACTTGGTGACAGCGAGTTTCACTCTGTGATAGTTCTAAGAGAATGAGTTTTGAACGCCTCAATCCTTGGTTGATTACTTTGGTACTTGAAGGCATGACTATTTCTTATTCTTTTCTGCCTTGACTAGCGTGACTATAGCTGTGGTTGCATATTTGTTTGTACATAACTTGCAATTATGTGTATTGCGCATGTGTGCAAGTCCAGAATACATATTAACTACATAGATGCTTTGTATAGAGAAAAATAATCAAGTAGTAAAAAGACATGAAAAGTGTGCAGCAGTTTATGATCTGTGGGCAGTTTTTCCAATTTTTTTCATTGACAGAATGACTTAATTTACTAGGTAAAATTGGCTTCTCTGAAGTGTGACAACACTGGGTCAAAGGTATCTGGTAAACGATGTCGGTTATCGACATCAGAACCAATCTCTCAACTGCTACGGGGGCTGACATTATTTTCCGGATGCCTTTGACCCAGTGTTGACGTCACACTTCAGAGAAGCCATGTGACAAGTCTCACTGGGTCAGTCTACTGAAGAAGACCAGAGTGACTGGTTCGAAAGCTAAAGGTGAGAACATTTCTCTCTTCTGTGGGAACAACAGCTACATGTAGCTTCAACTTTAAAACACATTTTTGATATGTTTGGCTTCATGACCATGAAGTTTCATGAACGATGGAGAATGTTTAGTTGGGAAGAAGTGTCCACAGATCACAAGTGTGAAGACAAACGTCAGCAGAACGCACTGCACCTGGGCAAAACCCGTAATGTATTGTACATAGCACTTCGGCAGAATGTCTCATATAAGGTTGTATTCGCTCATATAAGGTTAGCATTTCGACAGTAGTTTCCAAATGTTGTGTCAGAAAAGATATCCTCTGCAACAGGAAAATTCTGATGCAACGTTGACCAAAAATCCAACTAAAAACTCGAAAATCCAGGGTTATGCGCAGGCGGAGTACGTTCTGCCGACGTGCTTGTGAAGACAAACGTGAGAGGTCTCCTACTTTGTCCTTCATTCCCACCTGGTGACATGGAGCGGCTGGAGGAGGGGGAGTAGGGGATGGGGCTGGACACCGTACGCGGTCGGATCCCACCGTGGGATGCCATCTCATTAAAGGCCCTGAAACACAACAAACATTACAATTAGGGGTGAGTACTGGTTCAGGTCCAAGTTTCATCCAAGTCCATCTAGAGGAGGAACTGGAGAGAGACCCTTCCTCCGCTACACCAGGCTGAAGTTTGTTCCACTCTTTGATGGTTCGAGGGAAGAATGAGACCCGGGAGTGGTTAGATTTACTCGCAATGTGTAAAAAAGAGTCTCTTCATTCAGTGCCTTTAAACTTGTTAGTGGGGTTGTCTGGCGGAACGGCAGAGAGCTCTACTCAGAACCAAAAGGGTTCCTGGTTTGAGTCCTGACATGCCACCGATCTTGTGCCCTTGGAAAGGCACTTTACACAACTTTTCCCACTTAACTCAAGTGAAAATGAGTATTGTCTGTCCTGTATTTGTTTCTATGTTTGGGACACAACACCAGCAGCAGCTGTCTGTGTCCCACGTGAATTGCACTTTTGCAATTTCAAAAAATCAAATCAAGAATCTGACCTCTCCTCGTCCATCTCCAGACTGGACTCACTCTCCGACAGTTGTCTGCTCAGCGCCTCTCTTCTCTCCATCTCCCTCAGCAGCTTCCTCTGCAGCCTCACGTTCTCCTCCTTTATCTGCTTCTCCTCAGCTACGTAGTGAGCCATCTTCTCCGCATCTGGACGTACATGGGAGATCACACAATACTTCAGCAATAACCCACTAAACTAAACAAGAGTTAGTGTGGCTAACACCCTAAGGATATCACTCATATTAATCCTTAATCTGTTTCTCCTCCGCTACGTAGTGAGCCATCTTCTCGCATCTGTATAAATGTACATGGGGAGATCAGACATGACTTCTGTACATTGCACATATATGTAACAGGCCCCATTATAATTCCAGACAAACACTCCGGAAACCCTTAATCATTTAAAAATAGATTTACCGATAACTAAATGAATTGATATTTGTAAGTATGATATGAATGGGTAATGAATAAGTAGGTTGCGATTAGACATCTCAAGGAACAAGCAGATTCTTCAGAATTTTGCTGGAATTCTGGAGAATTCTGTGAACTTTCTGGTTCTGGAAATCTGAGCCAGAATTCTGGGAACTTGGCTCAGCTTCCCAGAACTCTCTAGAATTCTGGATAAGTTCAGGTTCTGAGATTTCTGCCAATTCTACTTACGTTCTTGCTGTGCGAGCTCCAGTTGTCTCCTGAGCTTGGACACCTCGTTACGCAGGTACTGTACGTGCATGGTCAGGTTCTGTGCCGTGTCACCCTCCGTCAGTTCTCGCGGTGAAGGCGGCGCCGACACAGGCTGGTCCAGCCTCTCCTGCAGCAGTCTGGGGAATATCAAACACCAAAACATTTACATACAGTCAAAACTGGCCCGTAGAATAAGTTTGAACTGGCGGATGTAATAAGTACCTAATACCAGCCCAGAAAAGAGCAAGAAATAGTCATGCTTTCAAGTACCAACAAGTTATGTATCAACCAAAATTTGATTTTCCTAGAACTATCGCATTATTCATAGAGTGGAACTCGCTGCCAGCAAAAGTACATTAGGGCTCTCATCAATAGAGCTTTAAAGATTTGTTTAGAGTTAAATAGGCAAATATTCGGTGTAACATTTAGTACTGCAAAGCAGGTGTGTTACGCCGAAAGGCAGTCATACCCAGCTCAGGAAGCATGATGACGTCAGGAGTGAATCGAAAGAGACCAGAAGACAGAATCTGTGAGTTCTTGTATGTGTTACAACAAAGTTTAAACTTTACCATTATGGATTCTACCAATACAGATGAGCTTTGAATCAAATAAAGAACCTTCTTATACTATATCCTGACCTTTTCTCTGCCTCCAGTCTGTCCATGCGTTTCCACAGCCGGTTGACCAGAGCCTCCTGCTCCTGTTCCAGGGTGTTCTCTAATTCCACCTTCTCACGACGCAGCTGCAAAAGTCAAACGTCTTGTTACACCAATTCCACTAGATACCACTAGAGATCAATCAGCAACCAACACTTTGACAGATTGGCCAACAAAATTTCATATGGAGAACTATTTTCAAAAGCTATGTACGTGTGTTTTGTTGTCTTTAAAACCGTACTTTACCACTCTGCATTATATTCCAATCATTAAATCAAGGATCACTAAAATATTAATCCAATTTTGAAGTCTCAGCGCTGTCATTGTAAAAGCTATGTAAGAATCATGTTCCCCCTTAATGTTTAAATAGCAAAGCTCATTCCATTGTAATGATAGTACAACTGTTGCGGGGTCTGACCTGTTCCAAGTTGTTTTGCTTCTGGTGGATCTCATTTTCAAGCTTCTCGATCTTCCTCATGAGTTTGTTAACCTGGAACTCCTGCTCCTGCTCCAGGGTCTGTTCCAGCTGGACCTTCTCTTCACGCAGCTAAACAACAACGACAAACAAACACATAAACATAAACACAAACAATTTTCCTCTGAGTTTGTTAAACTGGAACTCCAGGGTCTGTTCGAGTTGCACCTACTCTTCACGCAGCTAAACATAAATGCAAGCGCAAACAATTCTTCAAGAGTTTGTTAATCTGGACCTCAAGTGACAAATTATTAAGCTTTACTGTAATATGTTCAGTAACAATTACTTTAATTCCTGACTTTTTCACAGTACTTTATGTTTACGGTTTTCACGGTCACTTCGAATTCTGAACTGCGAACTTATCATTACTGTTAACCAGGCTTTTAGCTAGGATTTTTTTGGTGGGTGTCCATATTTTTTTCTTGTATGCTATGCACGGTGAAGACGCGCGGTGCGCAGGCTTTTTAGGGGGGCTTTTTTAAAATTCATAATGCTCTCAAACACTACTTTCTGCATTTTGAGTTTTTTTCCTTCAGTAAACCATCATTTTTGTATTTATAGTAAGGCTGAAGGGAGGCATGTGTGCATGGCAGGGGTTGGGAGTGGAAAAAACAGGGCGTCTTTAGGGTGTCCTACCAAAAAGTAGGGCGTCCAATTTCTTATCATTTTCAGTACAGGGCGTCCAAAAGACACCCTGGATACCCCCTAGCTAAAAGCCTGCTGTTAACAAATAATTTACCGACTTTCTTTTTTCTGTACCATTCACCACCGCGAACATATAGTTCTGAGAACATTCTCCATTTTTCTCAGACTGTGAACTTTTCCTACCGTGAGCTACAGTGGATTATAGTAGTTGCCAAAAGAAAAAAAACAGGTTTTCTGGGTTTCACTAGGTTTTCTAAATTCACAGTGTCTGTCCAAATTCAATGCCAGCAGTGTGTTAACTTGAGTTAGCCTCTACCAGGCTTGGGGAGGCGGCTGGAAAGAGTAGAAATCGGCCAAATAGAGAGATGAGCATGCCAAGGGAGTTTGTCCGTTGAGAGAACAGTTCGCAAATGTTCTCTCAACGGACAAACTGCCTTGGCATGCTAATATCTCTCTATTTGGCCGATTTCTACTCTTTCCAGCCGCCTCCCCAAGCCTGGTAGAGGCTAAACTTGAGTGACATTTCTGTAGCCTGCAGGAAGAAGAGAATCATGCTTGTTGTCCCAACACTTCCTGCCCTGCAGTTGAGCTACAGTCACACCACATCCCTCACATTCCACACGACACACAGGCAAACCACCAGCTTCCGCCAAACCAGCTCTGCAGGAAACCACACAGCTGGGGACTCAACCACAGGACAATGTCAATCAACTCTTCATGTTCATGTTAGTTAGAGTCAACTACAGAGTAAATACAGCTAAAACTGCACAAGAACTGCACTCAGGGTCCAATAAAATCTGGTCTAACTGGACAGGTGGTCTATAGACTTCTCTATAGATCCTTAAAGGCATCCAATGTAATTTCTGGTCAGCAAAACTGGATTTTGTACACACAACAAATACAGTTATATATAAAACAATAATATTCATAAATATAACATCCAGAACACCTACTAGATGAAGTTCTATTCCTACTGATCTGTTTAAAAGTCCTGAGACTGAGGACTTGTCGTTGCTGTAGCGGAAATGTGTTCAAGAGGTAACGTCCAAAGTATTGTAGACTGCTCCGTTATGCCAAGACTCTTGCTGGTGGACAGAAGAGTAGGTGATGAAGGTCATAGTAATTTTTAGACTTGTTACCTCTGACTGAGCAGTTCGTACCTTCATGAGCTTGCGTGACAGATCGTTGGTCAGGAACTCTTCCTCCTGTTCGTAGTTCATGGCCAGTTTCTCCTTCTCCTTCTTGAGAGACTGGATCTTCTTCAGGAGAGTGTTACTGATGAACTCCTCTTCCTGCTCAGCACGGGCTTGCTGGGAGAGGAGGGAACACAATAAGTTACACAGGGCTTAACACCCAGATTTGCCTGTAAAAATATTCCGAACATGCAATTTTGCATGTTGAACAGACATACAGTTCAGACAGTGGAATAATGGCACTGCTATGTTGCTATCACAGTTGCTATACATGTACTTATTTTAAGATCTTTGCTATACATGTACTTATTTTAAGATCTCTTTCCTATTTTCCTGGATGATTTTTCTCAAGTCGATCGAAATTCAACAGTTTTGCAGGCACGCACCTCATTTCTTCCAGGTGCAGCCACTACTACTTTATTTGGGTATTGCTGTTATTAGATAAGTAATGCATTTCACCATTTTACCCTCAGTATCATCCTCTAACAAAATAACTAATGCTCAACATCTTCCATTTGTAATGCTATCTTTTCTACGCTTAAATTTTGCATTGTTCATCTCTAAGCAACAAATACCGTTTGCCCATGCTTTACACTCAATGCTTCTTTTCTCAATTGTTGTAGCATTTCCTGCTTTCAATCCTCCCTAGATGTTATCCAGAATCTTCTGACGTAGGCCTTGGCAGTACCTAATGTCTATAATCAAATCCTGCATCTCATGCACAGTTCTGGGCCCCCTTCAGAAGTTCATTCATTACATCCAAAAGGAATCACTTCAAGGTCTACCATTTGTATGCACTGTATAAGAATTGAAACTGAAAAGACTTTGTTAAGAACTTGCCATAAAAGTTACAGATGAACAGGAAGAAAGATATGAAATCTACATGGTCATGAAGGTTGAACAAATGACTAAACACACGGAGCATGATATGGCCAAAAATGGACTCTTTATTTTCATTTCTTCGCTTCATATTCTCCTCTTCCTTTGGCATTTTGGTATATGGATTTTGACATTATATGTCTGACATTAGTGTTGCTTTCCAGTATCTTTTTTGCAATTCACGGCCTATATTTTCTAATTTCACTTTGTGCGATTCACAGTATAGTCAAAAATTTTTTGGGGAAAAAAAAATTCATGCGTGTGCAGATGTCATCCATATAATCAAATCAACATGGCCTTAAGTAGAGGAAAAGTCCACCTCCCTCCCCCTTTCTTAAGTGGCTTATTGATTTTTGTACAAGAAGGATGAGACCTCCCACAGGAAGTGACTGTGAGAGCCATAAAATGTCCTGGTGGTGATAATACGGGCGGCTGGCCTCCGTGCTAATGAGTTTTCCCAGCACTAAAAATCTAAGTAACAGTGCATGGCTTTTTTGCTAACCTTTACCCATCGTTTTGAAGAAGCAACTTCTTGCTTTTATTGATATGAATTTATTGATATGAATTTATTGCATGTTCTTGCCCAGATGGGCTAAATGCACAAGTGGACATGCAGTATGCAAAACAAGAGTATTGCATACTGGAACGCTATATTCTAATGCTAATTGCTAGGAATTTGTACATTATAACAATACTATATACTACCTATCATCTACTGTTAGTTGCCCTTTCTTCTCTCTCTTTGATACATTTGGAAACATAATTGCAGAAAACAGGTAAAAGCCGCGTGGATGACGTCTAGTCAATGGAGTCTGAGTGGCCATATCCAGAAAATGCCTTCAATGCACAGTTTGACCTGAGTGCTCAATCTTGTCAAGGTCACTGACCTACAGGTCAATTTCCCCCTGGCTAACCAATTAAGGGGAGCACACACAATCACTAGAGTTGTTCATGTAGGGATGCAGATTTCTATACTTAAGAAGTTATATGTATTTTCAATATCAAGTCAGTTGAAATTTTGTTGAACTGTGCTCATAAAAATAATTTGTATTTCTAAAAGTACATGCAAATAATTAGTTATAATTATAAGTTCAGTTTTTCAGCACTACTTACAAACAAAATGTATAGCAGCCTGTGTGTTACACAATCTCTCGCTGTAAGGGACTGATTGGGCCAACTATCGGAAGGGCTGCCAAAAATGTCAGGCTAATAAAAAGGAGAGAGTCAATGACAAATTCAGAGTCAGCTTAACAATACATGAAACATCCGACCGTGTCCATAATATCACCAGGGTCCATAATATCGCCACCTTGAGAAATAGTGTGCTTTAAGATATTTTTACTGCAACATACTTTTGGTATGCACTCCTGCACACCTCAAATATACATACCTAGGGTATGTTGCGGTAAAAATATCTTTAAGCACTCTTTTTCTCAAGGTGGCGATACTATGGACTGTGGTGATCCCTCGATATTATGGACACAGATGTTAATTTTTGGAAGCAATTGAAATTTCACAAAGTATGACTCTATGAGTTTCGATAAGATTTTTTTATCATAAGATCTAAAAGTTTGGAATGGCATACATTATTGACCAAAATGTATTGATTTTTATGTGAATTATTGATATTTTGGCAGACAAAATTTGATTTTCCTCGGGAGGAATTTAAATCATCTTCAAGTAACCTCTTTTCACTTTCCCCACATACATATGTACATAAAAAGTGCTTGCACCTTAGGCCACTCCAAATCAAATCAATCAGCTCTTAGAATTGCCTGCTTAATTTCTTTCTGATTTACCAAAAAAAAAAAAAGGATTCAGATTTTGAAAAAATCAGAGAACCAACAAATCAAATTGGTGTGGCCTGAGGTACATGCACATGCAATACTAACAACACAGATGGCTGAATTGCCTAGCAAACGTACTAGTATATCATGAATTTATAACTACGTGACTCAGAGCCAGACAGAATGACACTGTTTCAGGGGCTAATGTCCTCCCCTAATTTCCGACGATAAATATGACAAATAAAGGGGCTTTCTAATCACAACATAGATAAATTACAGGACCGCAGTAAATTGCACAAAATCCAGGTACATCTGGTCATCTCCTATGGCGTACAGACAACCCAATAAGGCCATATTTATTTGATTATATGGATGACATCCGTACGTGCAGGGATTTTTGTTGGTTTCCAAAGTAAAAGTTTTCAACCATACTGTAAATCGTGCAAAGCATCCACAAAATGAACAAATATATGCCGCAAATTGAGAAAAAAAAATTTGGACAATGATACATTATGTACTAATGTCGTAGAATGCCAAAATCAATTCCTAAGGCAAAGAAGTAAATGTGAAGAAATGAAAATTATTTGCCATACCAGTACTCTTTGTTTAATCATAAATGTTCAGTACCTACATTACCACATAGCTACATGTATCATAATGAAGGTAACTTCTTTTTTGACAAATATTTTATTCGCAGGCTCGCATCAATTCTGGCGTTTCCAGAGGATGTCATCCATATAATCAAATCAACATGGCCTAACTGCCACAGGAAAGGAAGGGAAATAAAAGCACCTAATTGTACAAGAGACCAATAACTCAGGCTATCAGGGTTTGAGGCAGACAACCGATAGGATAGTTCCAGATTTCTATCACTGCAAGCTGATGTATTTTAGCTGACAATCAAATTTATTCGGGAAGACAAGTACACTTCACTGCAGAGGGTGTGTTATGGGGGGAATATGATATTGCTGTGCGCATTGCAATACAGGATTCAAGAAATTTTTTGTAACCCAGCCAAAAATCCTGTCAAACATAGCCCTGTCTTTATATTATAGTAGATCAGTATTGAAACACATCTTATAGCATCTTTCTTTTACTATCGTTTCTGTTAAAGTTGCGTGGCTATACTGGAATGTTGTTCCTCCTCTCTTCAAACGGTTGATTATTCTAACAGTTTGTTTAACAAAGGACTGAGGCATGGATGAGGTAAACATCTATTTCTGGCCGTGACTCAACTTTGTTTTGGGAGTGTCTCGGTCAGCTGTTAGGGGGTGGTATATAAATAATAAGTATAATACAGCAGAGCGTATATATTTCATAATTCACAATTTTTCAGAGATACTTTTATTTCTCGTGGCCACTTCGGTACCACTAAGTAGTAGTTACTGTGATCAAATAATTTGCCACCATTTTTTTGCTGCATCTGCCACCACCACGAACATATCTATAGGCTCTACGCTAAATTTTGAGAGCCGGCTAACGTATTACACTGAATTCAGGATTACGTTTACAAATACAAATTCTGGGTAGCTACGACGCATTATGTAGAATTAAAACGGCAAATTATGTTCATTGCTTAGTGCCATAAACATGTCCATTTTTCTCATACCGTGAACACAAGGTGATTTACAGTATATCATATGACTACAGCAACATATTACCATTTCCTGGAAATCTTACATCAATACACATGACATTGTTCGGTCTATACTGAAAGCAATTATTTTCACAGATTGGCACGAAAAGCTATACACGAAACAGGAAGTACAGTACGGTAATCGTTTGCAAGAAACACTGCCCCATCACAAATCATAGTCATATGCGTAATGGAAAATGTTATCGACTTTATATAAAGATTATGACTCAATAAAACATGACAGATGCCAACCACTGCAAGGTCAAGTTGAAATATTTCAACTCACCCTTTACTGGACAGTCTGTAATACAATAACCAATGTCACAGTTTGGGAGGAAGGGTATAGAATATTTAGTCTCCACCAGACTTCTTTTGCGGGGTGAATAAATCGTAGAAATCGGTTTTAAAAGGGTATTAATCTTCTCTGTCCAATTAATACCCTTTTAACAAATTTTAGGCCGATTTCTACGATTTATTCACCCAGCAAAAGAAGTCTGGTGGAGACTATAGAATATTCTGGAATGCCTGACTCTTCTGATTTGATAGAATGTGAAACTCAACGTCAAGTGGTTTATAGGCAAACAGAATGAGCATTACATGTACATGTATATAATGAATGAATGACAACCTTTGTTGCACATTTTTGCCACACTGGGTACAGGTCAAAACAAAACATGTCATGATGAAAAGAAATATACAAAATAAAACTAGCTATCATTACATAAATTCAATTTCTCGCTTTTCAGTTATAGTAGAGATAAAGGAACAGATATGATTTTCGATGAAAAAGGGAAAGGAAGGAAAAGAGTAGAGTAATGTTAGGGTCTTTGGCAGAGTCAACGTCACTGGAAAAATTATGCATACGAGACAAATTGGTTTAATCAGCCGCGATCATTCAGGCATGGGAATTTCCTAATTCCGCAGATTTTCCATCTGCGATGGCGTCATCTGTGTGTGACAGATATAATGTAGGGCCTAAGCAAAATAACGTTGTGTTTTTGGATTCTTAATCGACCCTAGCCTTTTTTTATCAACTGCTGGTAAGGATGTAAAATTTTCCATCTGACATCTGACTATTTTAATCAACACTCTGACAGTCTGGAACGTCATGTAACACATTTTCAGAAGCAATTTTTTCTTCAGGAATTTTGGTGAAATATTTCTCCAAAAGCAAACACTCCCTGGTACTACAAAAATGTAGATGGGTCCTTGAGACAGCCTCAATGCATTGCTAAACTTTATTTGTTCGATTATTTTAGCTGAAATCTGATAAAAAAAACTTTAAACAACAGAAAATCCCTACCTTCTGATGACCCTAGTTTTTTCAGGACTGAAACCAAAAACACAACATTATTTTTCCTTGGCCCAGATGGAGCACACTCAGATCTAGAGGACATCTTGGAAATAACCTAATGAACAAGCTTTAAGCAGGGGACAGGAATTCTCCAAGGGGTGGGAGGAAACTGATTGATGTCTTGGACCTCTTTTATAATTCAAGGAGGTCTTGCTTTCCTTCCTTGAATCTAGAACCCAGAGATTGAGAGAATCTATAAATTTGAATGTGATTTGATATTCACTATTTGCCAATGGATTGATGACAATGGATTATGAATGTACATGGGGCTTTTTAAGAACTGCGTAAGGCCATACAAATTTAATAGTCAGTCCTTGGATTTGCTTGCTTCAGTTTTTCCTAATCTCAGGATGTCAGTACATCATGTAGGCCACACTAGTCTACTGAGTGCTGTGTTTTGTATGGTAGACATTCTATCTAATACTAGATTCATTGGTATGTGTTTATACCACTAACGATACATGTATGTTTTTAACAAATATGACTTGCTGAAATATATGTGATACAAGTTCATACAACACAGCTAAATTCTGTCCTATCTTGTCACGGCACATCTTCAAGCTACAAAAACGCCCATGACATCACAAAGCCAAATTAAGATTAAAGGCTTGACTGTATAAATTATAAGAAGCGCTGCAAATGGTTCGATTATAATTTGTTGTCAAAAATTTAAACTTGGCTGCACACGCACCCACTGCGACAGTGGCTGCCCAAAAAGATGTCTTCTATTTTTGCCCGTGTCTCCATGCAGGGAACACACACATAGGGAAAACCTGACACTGCGACTGGGTGGCATGTAGGGACTTGTGAAAGGACAACAAAAGTCAGGCGACGGGAAAAAAACGGAGCGAACAAGATATCACGTGCCTACACAAAAACAAATGGTCCGTCTGGGACATTTTTATTTTTTTCTCTCTCTTCTTCAAGGGTCATGAGCATAGGGCACATATCCATGCATTTCCCGACTTATTAGCATATCCATATGGATCGTAGTTCATTCCTGTGGTATATTCTGGAACATTCGGAGTCTACAGTCGTGCGAATCGTTAAGAATAACCACCTTCACGACCAAAATAACAAATTGTTTTCAGGGAGCCAAAGCAAGACAAGCGAGCCCAGACGGGGGCAACTTACGATCGACACACTGGCCTTGCGTAGCGCCTTGTTCTCTTCCTGTAGCGCCTTGCAGCGCATCCTGAAGGTCTCCAGCTCTATCTTGAGGACTCTGTTCTCCTGCTGGAGAGAACTGATGCGGTTGTGGAGCTCCTCGGTGGGAGAAGTGGCCTTACTCCCTCCCCCATCTGTCGACTCGCTCTCGCTCATTTCGCTCGCGCTGTCCGCCATCTTGGAAATGAAGTAGGGCGAGACGACGCGGTGCATCCTGGGGGACGAAAAAAAACAACACTCAGGTGATTTCACCTTTAGGGGGGCGTGTCTTCACCTGCAACATTGTTGCGAAATATTATGTAAGTTTTTGCGTAATCGCATTCCTCTGCAGCAAATCATTTGCCAAATAATGAAAAGTTTATTGCAAATGCGTGCCCGGAGGCTAATTGCAAATTACAAAACATTAAAGACCAATGAAGCAGAGTATAAAATAACTAAAGTCTACATGATAAAGGTAAATAGCTGTCTAGAACTATGTCTAAAACTATGTCTGAAGGGTTTGACTTCTCTTCTGTAAACCATGGAAGACGTAATGTCCCACCTTTTCCAAAAGTTAAAAGAAGAATACTAGTAGTTTTTTCTTGGTCTGTAAGTTTAGAGAAATTGGGATAAATTGTAGAAGTTTGAATAGTCAACTCATTTCGAGCGTTGTTATGGAATGAACAGTTTGAAATAAAATGTAATTTAATAATGTAATTTAGATCATTCTTAGATCGACTGTGCATTATTAGGCCATGTTAAGTTGATTACATGGATGACATCCACTGGGAAAACTGATGCGAGCATGGGAATTAAAAAAAGTTTAGCAAAAAAGTTGCCTTCATTATAAAATCTACGTGGTCATGAAGGTTGAACAAATGACCACGAGTGTATATGGTATGACAAGTAATAGACTCTTCATTTTCAATTTCTTCACATTTTCGTCCTTTCCTTTGGAATTGATTTTGGCATTCTACGACATTACTAACTATCGGTGTCCAATATTTTTTTTGCAATTTACGGCATATACTTGTTCATTTTATAGCTGCATTTTTCGATTTACATTCTGGTCGAAAGCTTTTCTCTTTTTATATGGGGGAGCAGACAGAAATTCATGAGCGGATGTCATCCATATACTAGTACTAGTAGTAACCAAATCAGCATGGCCTTTAACACTACATTCAGCAATTTCATGATTAGTTGTGTACTCCGATACAGAATGACAATGTCCATGTACATTGTATCCCAACCGCAGACGTGGGAAGCATAACTAACGATACACGAGATAGTAACTGTCTGCATTTTGATACACACGGCCACATAAATCAGGATCGTCTCGTCTGCACAGTGTCGCCAATACCTATAAGGCCGACACTGTTTCAAAGCTTCTTGTTGCAACGCAATGTTGGACGAGAAGAAAATATATCGGCCGGTAAGACCAAGAGTGATATGTAAGATTCCTTTGATACCCCAAAGCATGATTGGCTATTTCTTGATTTGGTATCTCTCCATGGTACTGATTGACAGTTTTACGTATACTGCAGTGCGCCTTGTGGCCGATAGAAGGCGGTTAAGTACGTTTCGAATGTAATTTTATGACGGCTTTTGACCGGGATGGTGATCATGAGGGGATAACAAGACATCCCGCCTGGCGTATTCTGAGTTGTAAGAATATCTACTTTTTATGCTGAGGTCACAGTTTCCAACCCGGGGCCCAACCGTGCAGTTTAGGGAAAGAATAAGTATGATGGATCACAACAAAACAAAACAAAAAAGTTTAAGAAACTCATAATGGGCACTATTTGCGTATACTTTTTTTATTTCAACAGGTTTATTTTTCGTTCGGCCCGGCCCCGGGTTGGAAATATTACCTTAGCATTGCACGGCTCGAAATGAAGCATATGGGAGGTGGCATGCTAGCCATACGTCTGCAGAATTAACATACTGCATCTGCGCGAAACCCGTAATGTATTGTACATAGCACTTTGGCAGTGTCTCATATAAGGTCGTATTCGCGTACATAAGGTTATAACATCCCGTCTGTAGTTTCCAAAATTAATATTTTGTCGGAAAAGCAATAGGCAAAATTCTGATGCAACGTTGACCAAACAATCATCTGACGAAAACCGTGAAAAATCGGGGCTTCGCGCAGGCGCAGTATGCCCTGCTGACGTGATAAAAATTCCACATCTTGTCTATTACGTCACAATACGTCATCGCTAGGTCAGGAAATGCCCTGTCCCCCGTCGAACACGTATCAAGGGCATGATTGACAGTTGCAATGGCCGTGCGTGGGCGTGTCTATTAAATGATGATGTAAGTTGTCTGCAACAACAAGATTCACTGGGCCGGGATCCAACCATATTAAAGCGCGTCGTCGACCGCCGATCACATGTTAGTCACGCGTACGGCTTATCGGATATAAAACCGGTTCCCTCACCCCCAGAAATCAGACGATTGGATCTGCATCGAGCGGTTTGAACACAAATTCACCTTCGGCCACATGACTTTGTGACGTAGTTTCTTCCTTGACCACCCGAGAGCAGTTTGACCGGTACCGTTTCTATCAAGGACGTTTCGACCGCGGAGTCGAATCGAGTAACGTTACGTCAAGCTAGTGCAATTCGACCCCGCGTGACGCGCGAGTTGTTTCCACGTCATTCATTTGTGGCTGTGAAGAACGCAGGAAGCGGACATGCTGCTGGATGCTATGGGCTGTGGGCTGTCGTCTACGGACAGAAACGGCGACCTTTCTCCAACGGTAGGTTTCTAATCATCATAAATTTCTGTAACATACTGGATGTTATAATGGCCGAACAGGATTTTCATACTTTTGATATGGTATTTTCTATGCATATGTAGTGTTTGTATTGAAGTCTGAATCGATTGATAATATTCTCAAGATTTTAAATTGTAAAAAGTCTACAATTTAGCCATTTAGGCTGCCACCGACTTTTAACCTGTATGTCTATGTATTTGTTTATGTGAATAATAAACCAGTCATCATCAAATGTATATAGCTGAGCAGATCTGCTTGGAGATTGCAAGGATCCATCCATATTGAGGAGTAAGCAGTATATAGTAGAGTGACGTCGAGTCATTCCTATCAGACAAGAGTAGCTTGTAGGTTCTAGTAGGTTAAGTAGGTTTCTAAGGATTTTACATTTGCGCGTTCAATATCAGTAATGCTGTTGGATAACAGTTTTTAATATAATACACACGCTGAAAGATGTGTATGTGTGTTTAGCATGATAATTGGCCTGCTATTTTATTAACATTACATCACACTGTGTCATACATGATATTTAACATAACAGTTTTTCGTCAAGGGAGCTTGTTTTTAGCTTAGATACGATGTACTGATGACTCCTTTCGCTATGTGTGTGTGTGTGTGTGCTTCACAAAGCTATTTTTCAGCATGGAGTCATTGTCTGACTAAAGAAAATAAATGACAAAAGAAATTCGATATTTTTTTGTGATGTAAAACTCCAATGCGCCATTGTGCGTGCTGTATAGAGCCCAGGCGTTGTCTTGTGACAATGGCGTTGTGTAACATCATTGTTCTCTCACCTGTATGGTACACAATGGATAGTACACTGTGTCTAACCTTCTAAGAATTTAGCAATAACACGGAATATTGCGACTTTTGGGTTAGGCCTTATTGATCTTTTTTATCTGGATGACAAGTGGGGTCGTGTGGCGCAACGGCAGCGTGCGCGACTCGGAATCAAGAGGTCCCGGGTTCGAGTCCTGACATGCCACCGATCTTGTGCCCTTGGGAAAGGCACTTAACACGACTTTCCCCAATAGACTCAAGTGAAAATGAGTATTGTCTGTCCAGTATTTGTTTCTATGTGCGGGACACAACACCAGCAACAACTGCCTCTGTTCCGCGTGTATTGCAGTGCAATTTCAATAAATCAAATCTGGATGACATCCCCTGGGAACCCCAAAACTGATGCGAGCGTGCAAGTAAAATAGTTTGTAAATTTCATGCGCGCGTGGATGTCATCCATAAAATCAAACGAACATCGCCTTACTTAAACTAAACATAAAGTTTTTGATGATTACTAATATAGCATCCTCTTCCTACAGGGTCTAGAATCAGAAGAAGACCGTGTCAGCATTTTGGCCAAGAAGCTTTGGGACTACATGATACTGGGACAGGAGTTAGTCAAGGTATGTTACGTTCTGTAACTAAAAACTACATGTATAACTTGTCGTTCCGTCTTTTGGTATTATCGATTTTTGTAATGTTTAGAACGTTTGGCTCTTAAAGGGATCCAGTGTAATTTCAGGGAGAAAACTGCATTTTCAAAGTCAATATTCTGACTATTATTAAGTTTTAATGTAGTACTAGTAAGTTGATATCAACCTCATCCCATAGCATACTGATATCTGCGAGGTACATATGCCATGTCGTTGATGTGAAAACAGTTTCTTATTTATCGTAGACTGGTTCTAGCTATATATGGGTGGTGCCAAAAAATAAAGAAACTTCTCACGTAGCTTGATTTTTGGTTATTTCAAACGCTTCAAGTATGAAATGATTAAAATGTGCTACGAAATTGCAGCACATGACAATATCAGACAGATTTCCTCATACTGAGAATATTTTTTAGTTTTGCCGCCCTGAAATTGCATTGGATGCCTTTAAACTAATCATTCAATCACTTGGGAAGGAATATCGACTTGTGTAATGTTTAAAACGTTTGACTCTTTAATGTTATTCATTTATTTATTCAGAATTGTAACATGACAATACAAAGTGTGCACTAGGCAGCAAGCATGCTGATAGCGTGCACACCTAACACATACCTGGACATACGACATAGAAAAACAACAATAAATAGCTAGAGCAAGATATATACACAAATAACATTATCTAATAAATTACACCTGCAATTAAAATCAATTTTATAACTGTACAGCAATTGAATGTTTAGTGTGGCTCAGCTGGAAGAGGCACAAAATGTTATATGCTGACGTGTGCACTTCTCTCTGTTTCAGAGTGACGTCATCCTGGTTCTGGGTTGCCATGACACCCGTGTGGCTGAGTACGCCGCCCGCCTGTGGTTGGACGGCTGGGCGGAGTACCTCCTGTTCTCCGGTAACCTTGGCCACTTCACTAAAGGTCGGTCTCTCTTTTTTTTCAAAACTTTATTGATTTGATTTGATTTGATTTGATTTGATTTATTAGAATTGCAAACAAGTACAATACTCGTGGGCCACAGGCAGCGGGGGCTGCAGCTGGTGTTGTGGCCCACACACAAAACAATCACAAGCACACAAACAAGACACACATTTAAACCTAGTATAAGTATATAAAAAAGTAAGTATAAGGGTACTAAAAACAGCATAAATTAGAATACTAGTATATCAGTCCATTTAGTACTAGGTACAGTTCATGCGGTTATTGCTGACCAAGAGACAAAATATATACAAAATATACAAAATATACACATACACAACATACAATGCACTAAACATGGTGACAGGTGTCTCGGTTACAAAGTAATACAATAAGTTGTGTTGAATGCTATCCTTATCCTTAAATTCCATCCAGGATTTATAAATGACAAATTTTGCTACAGTGATCGCCAGAGTGATGTTTGTATCGAAGACTTCCAAATTTTGATCCACTCCAAAAAATATTGACAATTTGTTTATCTTAATTCTAGTGCCATGGTAATTCAATCTATTTTCAACTTTTTCCCAGTAGTTACCCAGCCTTTTGCTATTTACAAACAAAAGGTCGGTCTCATCAACTCAAAGGTTTCAACGTGTGATGAGTACGTTTTCACGTTAGTAGAATGCCAAATGCCATGAACGCTAGCCTGGTATCCAGTCTTACGTGATTGGGGGTTTGGGGTGTTCAGGCAGGCTGTGCCTTCGGGGGCTCTAGTCTAATGGCCTAATAGCTTCCCCCGCGCAGTGCAACAGGCCGTCCCGGTAGGAGTGTTACGCTAATAAAAGAGTATGCTTGGGGATTTGGTTTCCCCCAATCTCTCGTGAAATACACACCGGGAAACCTATGTGAGGCGGGCGGGACAGAGCTCTTACGGCCCCGACCACGATCAGACTGGATACCAGGCTATCAGAACGCTGGGGTGCAATGCGCAACAATAACGATTTCTCATTAAGCGTTATTATCTTTTTTTATTCTTTGCATGTCGCAGGCAATAGCTCTGGTGATTATTAATAATAAGCTCTGATAGTTTACACTCTGATTCAGCGTAAAGCGCCCCCTGTGCATTTACTTATAAAACACAGATTACGTTTTTAACATGCAACATGTAAATAGTATACGTGACATTACTATCATGGTTATATTGTCAGTTGTATCCTTTTAATTCATTCATTCGTTCGTTCGTTCAATTCATTCATTTATTCATCTATTTTTTCAATTACCCAATCCCTTCTTCTTACAGGAGTGTGGGACCGTCCAGAGGCTGAAATCTTCCACGACATTGCCGTGAGCCTGGGCGTGCCAGACGACAGGATCCTGCGGGAAACCCTGGCGACCAACACCGGAGAGAACATCAAGTTCTCTCACCAGGTTCTCCGGCAACACAAGGTCAAGGCCAACTCCGTCATCCTCGTCCAGATGCCTTACATGGAGAGGAGGACCTACGCGACTTTTGTGAAGCAGTGGCCAGGTGACAAGGAGAACACACACGTCGTTGTGACGTCGCCAAGAATAGCGTTCCAGGACTACCCTAGCGATGACGTAGGCGGTCTGAAGACGACGGTGAACAATCTGGTGGGAGTTCTGGAACGGATCAAGTCGTATCCAAGCAGAGGCTTCCAGATCCATCAGGATATCCCAGACGATGTGTGGCTAGCCTACGAGGAGTTGGTCGACATGGGTTACGACGGACTAGACTACAAGATGAAACCGTGTTAACTTTGTATTAGGCCACAGCAAGTAATTTTTATGGACGACATCAGCACGCGCATTAATTTTCGCCTGATTTTGGAACAAAAACAAGAAATTTTGTTGCCCTCTGACAGTGGTCAACATGCCTAAAATGCGCAAAGATGTCTGTTGCCATGCCGGAAGGTGGATGACAGATAACTATGAAAAGAGGAGACAAGAAAAGGCTCTGATTTAATGTTTTGTTTCTTACTTTGATGCTGTGATATGTGATGCTGGCTGGTATATGTGATGTTCCTAATGGATCAAAATCATTTTTACAATGATTGAATCAAAATTTTAAATTGTAGGAACCTTGTTTTTTTCGACCCGCCTTGTTTCTTTTTCGCCGCTCGCATTAGATTTGGAGTCTGCGGAGGATGTCATCCATAAAATTTACTTGCTGTGGCCTTAGAGCAACGGAAAAGGACATTTGACTAAGGAGTTTAGAATGATTTTAAGCTCCTTGACTTGACGTAAAGGAGACTCAGGGTAACTTGTGACTTGTATTAAGTTACGAACTTTTACAATTTGATGTTCATGCTAGTGTACATATTGAGTAAGGATACTTTTGTAGTACATGTAATTGTTAACTTATACGAGAGTTTGATAGAGCTACCATAACGCGTAGAGGAAAACTCACAGCCATGTAGCTCATTAGAAAAAAGAAATCTCAGGTTCGTCGTATTAGTTAGGTAAACTTTACTTATAACCTTGATTCTGATAATATTTTCTATTATAAAATTAAAAAGTACTACCTGGTGCTACTAAAAAAATTCGTCAGTACTATCGTTGCAGCACTGTAACAAACCGCTAGGAGCGCGTGTCATATTTGTTGTATCCTGGTACCTTTGAGAAACGCAATGACACGTAAGGAGTGGACGTGTGGAAGTTTTGGCGATTAAATCTACTTTGCAATACGTAGCATGATCTCAGGAAACACTATTAGAAAGTCCATAGACTTGTCGTGTGCAGCTTCCTCTTAGTAGTGCCTTGAAAAGGTACACATATTTCTTCGCTGATTGTCAAGTTCCATGGCTTAAATCTTTACAGTTTATGTTATTTTCGTGGTTCTTTTGTCCGCTGGTCGGACGTTATTTCTGCTCGGATTGCGTAACACTTGAAAAAGTTACAAGTCAAACAAATATGCCAATTGTTTGTTAAATAAAATAAATTCAACTCTCGTGTATTAGATACATGTATTGGCTATAGAGAAGGGAAAAGAAAGTTTTGTTTTAGATGCAAATGTTAGTCATGTATTTATTGTGTATGATCATGGTATCAATCGAAATAAAAAAATGCTTTCCTTGAAAATTGTTCCTCAACTTTACTGGATCACTGATGGTCTCTGAACCGATAGACGTCTAGGACATATTTGCCCATTTTCGACATGTTGAACACCGTTGGAGGGCAACAAAATTTCTTGTTTTTTTTTCGATACTTAATAATTAATGCACATGCTAATGCGCATCCATGAAAGTCACTTGCTCTGGCCTACGTTACGGTAAGCGCCAATCTCCAAGCAGATATTTCGGTGGCTGCAAAGACAGCATCAAATTGGTCAGGCTGTATTCATTGTCCAGATAGTTGGCAAATGGATACAGCCTGGCCAATTTTGATACCTTTGTAGCCACCGAAATATCTGCTTGGATGTACTAGGTAAGCGCAGTGTTATGACACTGGCGTCTGTTCCTATCTTACTGCAGACTAAATGCGTCTAGCTTTTCTCCCATGACTGGAAACTAAAAGCCTATCTCTGGAGAAACTGTCAAGAAATGGTGGTTCGTGCGTAAAGTTTGTCTCTCAATGAGGGAGCCGGTGCCAGAGTAGACAAATAAAGTTATCAAAAGGGCACAGTTCACAAGGGACCTCCATTTAACATCCTATCCGAGGGACGTCCCTAACCGACGTTAGGTACTCATTTTCACCTGAGTGAAGTGAGGAAAGTGTTGAGTATGGGCTCAACTCCCTCGTAGCGGAAATTTAGGTAGGCGGGCGTAGTGCTCTTGGCTACCGAAGGAAACCAGCTAAGGGCCCGATACTAGTAGTACCCCATTTAATGTCCTATCCAAGGGACGTCCCTAACCAACGTTAACGTTAGGTACCCATTTCCACCTGAGTGAAGTGAGGAAAGTGTTGAGTATGGGCTCAACTCCCTCGTAGCGGAAATTTAGGTAGGCGGGCGTAGTGCTCTTAGCTACCGAAGGAAACCAGCTAAGGGCCCGATACTAGTAGTTCCCCATTTAACGTCCTATCCAAGGGACGTCCCTAACCAACGTTAACGTTAGGTACTAGTACTCATTTCCACCTGAGTGAAGTGAGGAAAGTGTTGAGTCAGGCCCAACTCCCCCGTAGCGGAAATTTAGGTAGGCGGGCGAAGTGTTCTTGGCTACCGAAGGAAACCGGCTAACGGTCCGATACGTACTAGTCTGGCTAGCATGGTACCAGGTAGCCTGGTATCCAGTCAATCATGGTTGGGGCATAGCAGCTGGGGGCAGGCTAGTGTCTACTATACGGGGCTCTAATAGTTCCCCCTGCCCAGTACAACAGGCCGCCCGGTAGGAGTGTTACGCTAGTAATAGAGATGGCACGCCTGGGAGTTGATTTGCCCCACCACGAGACACGCATCAGGTTCCTCTCGTCGGCGCTCAGGACCTGAGTGGGGCTAATCAATGTCTAATCGTGAAATACCTACCTGGAAACCAAACAAATCAAATAACTTTGTTAGCATTAGCAATTTTTAATG